GCGTGTACATGCACGCTATTGAGTGGCAAACTTTCACGCGACTGGCAAAAAACCAGGACTTGCCAAGTCACGTTTCTGCGAAGACTTGGAGATATCCCACGGGAGCCGACCTCCATAAGAAGATGATCTTGGGGGGGGGGGGGGGGGGAACCAGTACGGGTGGCAAACTCGCGTCGTAAAGAATTACAAATGATAACTGTGGCAATCTACTGATATCAATTTAATGAAATGAAATGCATCAATGCAGGGATATTACATCAAAGCAAGGACAGGTGGCAACCTCGCGTCTTAAAACAAAAATACTGTAAAAATCACACTCGTTTTGAAAATATAGTGGCGTCACTTAAATTAAATTCGATATGACGTCAGCGCGGGGGAGTCGTGACATCGGTTCACGGTGACCTTGGCGTCTTTGTTCGTTTTGCTCACTAGACGGGATTCGAAGCCGTGTCCTTCACGTGTCAAGGGTGACCCACCCTTCCTGTCCTGTCCCCTCGGCAATGCCGCCTCCACAGGGACAACCAACCCCTCTATCCCTAATGAACATCTGTTGCATCACCCAATTCCCTGACCCCCACCCCTGCCCCCAGATTGTGCCCGATGTAGTACAGGGACTACCTCTACTTACAAACATTCGACTTGGGAACTTTCAGAGATACGTACAAACCTGTCCGTATGTCCCGTTACCGCAGTTCAACGATGCGATTGCCCATCACAAGTTGATTTGTGCAGAGATGAAGAGAACAACTGTGCAGACATCTCTTAGTAGGTATTTCAAGAGAATAGAGAGGAAACACGTGCCAAAGGGAATTAAGCATCTACATCTGCAGAACGTGAAGAATCAGTGGCATCTACATCTACAAAACGTGAAGAACCAGTGGCATCTACATCTGCAGAACGTGAAGAACCAGTGGCATCTACATCTGCAGAACGTGAAGAACCAGTGGCATCTACATCTGCAGAACGTGAAGAACCAGTGGCTTCTACATCTGCAGAACGTGAAGAACCAGTGGCATCTACATCTGCAGAACGTGAAGAACCAGTGGCTTCTACATCTGCAGAACGTGAAGAACCAGTGGCATCTACATCTGCAGAACGTGAAGAACCAGTGGCATCTACATCTGCAGAACGTGAAGAACCAGTGGCTTCTACATCTGCAGAACGTGAAGAACCAGTGGCATCTACATCTGCAGAACGTGAAGAACCAGTGGCATCTACATCTGCAGAACGTGAAGAACCAGTGGCATTTACATCTGCAGAACGTGAAGAACCAGTTGCATCTACATCTGTAGAACGTGAAGAACCAGTGGCATTTACATCTACAGAATGTGAAGAACCAGTGGCATCTACAGCTCTCTCCCTCCCTGCCCTTTTGTCTCTCCCCCTTTCTGCCCCCCCGTCTCTCTCCCTCCCTGCCCCCCTCTCCCTCCCTGCCCCCCTCTCTCTCCCCCTCTCTGCCCCCCTCTCTGCCCCCCCGTCTCTCCCCCTCTCTGTCCCCACCGTCTCTCTCCCTCCCTGCCCCCCTCTCCCTCTCTGCCCCCCATCTCTCCCCTCTCTGCCCCCCCATCTCTCCCCCTCTCTGCCCCCCCGTCTCTCTCCCTCCCTGTCCCCCTCTCTCTCCCCCTCTCTGCCCCCCCGTCTCTCTCCCCTCCCTGTCCCCCTCTCTCTCCCCCTCTCTGCCCCCCCGTCTCTCTCCCTCCCTGCCCCCCTCTCCCTCTCTGCCCCCCCATCTCTCCCCCTCTCTGTCCCCCCATCTCCCTCCCTCCCTGGGCCCCCGTCTCTCTCCCTCCCTGCCTCCCCGTCTCTCTCCCTCCTTCCCAACTGAATCCCCCTAACCTCTCGCTTATAAATCGACGAAGGCTCGGCGCCCTCTGATGTCTCTCTCTCTCTTCCTGTCTTCCCCTCGCCTCCCCTTCTCTTTGCCGATCTCTCGCGACGTCTCTGCCCCTCCCCTCATCTCGCCCCGTCTCTCTCGCTCCGTCCGAACCGGACCCCCCTAGCCTCTGCCTCAAGAACCGTTGAATGAAATTCCTCTGATGGCTGTCTCTCTCTCTCTCTTGCCGCGCTCCCCACGCCGCCTCGTCTCTGCGTCTCTCGCTCGCCGCGTCTCTGGCCCTCGACTGTTGCTGCGCCGTCTCTCTCTCCCCTCTTCCCCCTCCCGCTCCCCGACTCCGCCCCGGTTCCGTGCCCCTCAGGCCGAGCTCCTGCCCCTCGCTGACCTTCATCTGCCCCCCCCCCCCTTCGCTCCCCTCCCTCACGAGACCTCCCACGCACAATTCCTTGGTCCCATCCCTCTCTCGCCTCGCTCCCGCACTTCTTCATGGAAGCTCTTCGTGGGACGCGTCTTCTCCGGGCGCCGTTCGGCCTCCTGCACGCACCTCCTGCACGCACCTCCTGCACGCACCTTGTGCACCGCCACTGCCAAAGACAAAGATCCCCCGTATAGCCTCTAACAGACTGTCGGGGGCAAGTGCTGTTAGCGAGTAGCAGCACTTATCAAGGCCGGCACTGTGGCACACGGGGGGGGTGGGTCACCACGATGCTTGTGCACACACCACACACACACAGTCACACAAACACAGTCACACAACACACACAGTCACACACAGTCACACACACAGTCACACCACACACACCCCACACACAGTCACACACCACACACAGTCACACAAACACAGTCACACACCACACACAGTCACACACCACACACAGTCACACACCACACACAGTCACACACCACACACAGTCACACACCACACACAGTCACACACCACACACAGTCACACATCACACACACACAAAGATCCCCCGTATAGCCTGAACAGACTGTAGGGGCAAGTGCTGTTAGCGAGCACCTATGAAGGCCGGAACGGTACACGAGGGGGTGGGTGGCCAGCACCACGCCCGACCGCCTTTGTCTCCCTAGTGGCGATGTTTACACACCGCACCAGGTACTCATTTAAGGCTGAGTCGACCTAGGGGAGGCCCAGGACCGGTTCAGATAATCGTCACTGGTGTTAGCCGTGAGCGGGAATCGAACCCGGGTCGCCAGGTTCATAGCGCAGCGCGCTAACCGCTACACTACCGCTCCCCACACACAGTCACACAAACACAGTCACACACACCACACACAGTCACACACCACACACACCCCACAAACAGTAACACACCACACACAGTCACACACAGTCACACACACCACACACAGTCACACACCCCACACACACACCACACAGTCACACACACCACACACAGTCACACACCACACACACCACATACAGTCACACACCACACACACCACAGACACACCACACACAGTCACACACCACACACACCACATACAGTCACACACCACACACACCACACACAGTCACACACAGTCACACACACCACACACACCACACCTTGGAATGAATTGTGCACGTGTACTGCAGCTGCTGATGATGCTGCTACTGCAGCTGCTGCTGGAGAGACGTCGCTGCACCTTCGAAAGAGGCTGCTGCAACTTGCTGAATCCGCCCCCTGATGAGCTGCACTACTGCAAGTTCAAGTTCAAGTATTAGGTATAGAGCCCTGTGAGCCATTCGGCTCTTGAATCGGGTGCAACCGCAACAAACAAAAACATCTTAAAGTGAATATGTGACTGAGTGCAAACAGAAAATCCAAGAAAAGACAGCAAAATATTGCAGGAAAAAAATCACAGTTACACCAACTCTGTGTGCAAAAATCCCAGCAGACAACAAATCGATTAACGAATGAAATCGGCTAACCCTCGATATATTATTGGTTCTTTCTGTTATAAAGTCACGTAAATAGAAAAAAATTATAATAAAATATTGAAAAAATGGCGGGTTTTGCTTTTATTATTTTCCATTTTTTTTCTTATTTTTTATTTTCCATCGACGCGATTTTACCAAAAGAACCAAGAATATGAATTCCTGCAGTCACTAAAGTTTTAAGTCAAAATTGATCCGCTAACCCGTCAAGGCAAGTGACCTGTTAATCAATTGCTGTTATAACCGTACCGGCTTCAAGTAGCAGCAGCAGCAGCAGAGAGACACGTGGCTCCACTGCAGCTCCCACGTGACAGCGTCTGGCCACGCCCAGCGCGGGTCACGTGTCAGGAAGGGGCGGAGCTTAAGCACCACGTGGGCAGAGCCCCCAGGTGTCATTGGCTGTCTGCGTGGTGTCGTCTGTGGGTCTCTGTGTGGTGAGTCAAGTTCATGTATTAGGTAGAGCCCTGTGAGCCATGCGGTTCTTGAATCGGGTGCAAACTGAAAAAACAAAAAAACATCTTAAAGTGACTATGTGCAAACTGAAAACACAAACAAAAAACTAAAACATGAACAAAAAACATCTTAAAGTGACTATGTGCAAACTGAAAAAAACAAACAAAAACAAAAACATGAACAAAAAACATCTTGTAGTGAATATGTGACTGAGTGCAAACAGAAAATCCGAGAAAAGACAGCAAAACATTGCAGAAAAAAGTCACCGTGTACACCAACACTGTGTGCAAGAATCCCTGTGGGATGCAAGTCAAACAACCAACAACAACAACCACAAGACAACTTAGATAGTCGATGGGTCTCTATCAGTAATTCTACATTTGAAGCTTTCGTGACTGCCAGGAGTAGGTTTTTTCGGTAAAGTCACGTAGGTAAAAATACAAAATATAAATAATATAAATAAAATAATAAATCACGACGTTTCAGAGGCAACACAAGCTTCCTTCATCAGGTGTAAAAAGGCACACAAAAAAACTGTACGTCGTGATTTATTATTTATTTCTATTATTATTTACATTATTTTATTATTATTTATCTCTACTGTAGTCTACGGGTCTCTGTGACCCCCCCCCCGTGCGGATCGTGAATCGAGGTCAGAATCGACCGACGGCTTGCAATCGAAGTCGATTCTAACGTAATCGCATGGAGGAATCGATCCACGGATCGATCCGACGACATCACCGTTAACCAAATCGCAATGGAGGTAGAAGCCAACAGCTTCCATCGAGTCGCGAAGTCGTCACCTCCTCTACCTCCTCCTCTACCTCCCCCTCTACCTCCTCCACCTCCTCTACCTCCTCAATTGCCTCGCGACATCAACAACCCTCCCACAGCAGCAGCGGCAGCGGAATCAGCAACAACGAAGTCAACACCCGCCACTGAGGCCTACACCGCCATGCAGCCTGCGGTCTCTGCCCAAGCCGCGTCGCATTCTGCGGGGGAGATTCAGGCGAGGGGCGGTGGCTGCGGCGAGGAGGAGGAGGAGGAGGATGAAGCGATGCAGTTGCTGACCATCGTAACCGGCGATCTCATCTCCGGCTACGTGGCTCACCTGACGCAGCAGACGGAGCAGCAGCAGCAGCCTGTGCAGCAGCAGCAGCAGGGGCTGCAGCAGGGGCTGCAGCAGCAGCTGCAGCAGCAGCTTCAGCAGTTGCAGGAGCAGCTCCCGGCGGTGCAGCAACATCTCCTGCTGTCGCAGCAGCAGCAGCAGCAGTGGATGGAGAAGCTCTGGCAGCAGCAATTCCAGCACATGCAGCAGGTGCAGGAGCAGCTCCAGCAGGTGCAGCGGCAACAGGAGCTTGTGCAGCAGCTGCAGCAGCAGGAGCAGCTCCTGGATGTGCAGCAGCAGCAGCAGCTGCTGCAGGAGCTGCAGAAGAAGTATCAGCTCCAGGAGGTGCAGCTGATGCGTCGGTTCAAGCAGCTGCACCAAATGCAGCAGGAGCATTTCCAGCAGTTGCAGCAGTTCAAGGAGTGGCAGGAGCTGCAGCGGCAGGCGCGGAAAATCCAGCGGCAGCTCCGGGAGGTGCGCTCGCTGCTCCAGACCTCCCGGCGGCTCGTGCGGCTGCGTGTGGAGCTTCTGCAGGAGGCGCTCGACACCCGAGGAGACGCGTTGCTGGCGGAGTTCGAAGCCTCCATCCCAGACTTTGTGAGGCGCGCGGAGGAGCTGGCGAAGCAAGTGGACCCGCGCCGGCTGGTCGTGACCCTGGCCTGGCAGGTTCTCACCGCGGGGCCCATGAGCTGGGGCTGCGTGCTGTCCATGGTGGTGTTTTGCGCGCTGCTCGTCAAGAACCTGAGGGCCTCCGGTCGTCTGGGCGACTCGGAGGAGACTTGGCCCTTGACGGACGCGGTGGCCGCTGTGCTGTTGACCACACGCAAGACCTGGCTCATGGAACAGGGAGGCTGGGTGAGGGGTTACACACCGCTACCATCAACACCACTGCGCCGGAACAGCATGTTGGTAATTGAAAGCCCATGGGCTGCACAAAATCGAGCAGCCTCCTACCGTTGTTATTGAGTTGATCTCACCCATGTCCTCCAATCACTCCAGACCAGGTGCTAGCATCATGACCAACTCTGGCATTGAAGTCACCCAACAAGATGACTCTATCCCGAGGGGCCACTTTAGCCAGCACCTGTGACATGAGGTCATAGAAGGCATCTGACTCATCGGCCTTGCCTGCATCCCTCCACGGATGTTCGTCTTCGGTGGGGGCATAAGTAACCACGACCACCACTCCTCGCCTCTGGTTGATGGAAAGGCGAGCCCAAAGTTGTCTGGGGCTTACAGATTCCCACACCTCACCGCCACGCTCCCATGCCCCCTTCATTCTTTTATTCAGAAGAAGAGCCACTACCTGTTGTTTGGCAGTCTCCTGCCCCCAGTAGAGGACTGTCCACCCCTCATGATGTCAGGAGCCAGAGCCGGTCCACCGGACCTGAATGCCACAGAGATCCAGGCAGTACCTGTCCAGCTCCCGACAGAGGAGTGGCAGCCTCTCCTCAGCAGTGAGCGTTCGAACATTCCACACGTTCAACCAAAGTGTCTCACTACCCAGTGTCTCACAAGCATTGTCTCACTACCCAGTGTCTCACTACTCAGTATCTCACTACCCAGTGTCTCACTACCAGTGTCTCACTACTCAGTATCTCACTACCCAGTGACTCACTAGCGGTGTCTCACTACCCAGTGTCTCTGTACCAGTGTCTCGCTACCCAGTGTCTCTCTACCCAGTGTCTCTGTACCAGTGACTCACCACCAGTATCAGATCATAGAACAACGCCAAAAGGTGATGATGATGACGATGATGGTGGTGGTGGGGCTCTCTTTCCGTTCTGTTTCTGTGCTGCCACACAGGAGGGCTTCCTGCGAGCGTTCGGGCCGGGGACGCCCACCTAGGAGAGGAGCCGCAGACGCCGAGCTCCGATGGGCGGCGATTGTGGAGACAAGAAGAGAGAGACAGAGAGAGACAGAGAGAGAGACAGAGAGAGAGACAGAGCGAGACGGAGAGACAGAGACTTTTGACTTTTTACACAACTTTTATTGCCGCCAGGAGCAACAGCACTGGAGGCGATTCCGATATGAAATACAGTCACCAGCAAACAAACGAATAAACGCTGTAAATCCACACGCCGTGGCGCTAAATGCAGCGCAACACGAAAGAAAAGTCACGTGGTGGTTGTTGTTGTGGTGGTGGTTGTGGTGGTGGTGGTCATCTCGCACGCCACGGTGACGAGAGAGCGCCTCAGAAGAGAGAGAACGGCCATCACCAAGCCATGTCAATTTTTACTTTTCTCTTTACAAAAATGAGGCTTCCATTAACGTGTGGTCCGACCTCTGTCAGGCGTTGAACAGTGAAATAGTACAAGTCGTTCGAAAGTGCATCGTAATATCTGCATCGTTAATATTTTTAAACTTGAGGGAATTAATTTTTTGGCAGTGGCAATGAGAGATGCAAACATTGAAATGGCTCAGGGTTTGAATCAGATGAAAATTCAGAGGAGTTAAAACGTGCTAACTACCAACCTAAATGTTCAAACAATTGTCGGGGGATACGTGTTGATTGTGTGCGTTTACACAATTTGACTTGAAGTCTTGAAAACTGGTTACACAGAAACAAAACTTACAGCCAAGAAATTGTGACGTGTTGTTTTAAATTGCCTGAATTTCTGTAAAACACTGTTTAAGTGACAATGTCAGACTGTTGTTGTCTTTGATCGTTCATAATGAATTTTGTGTGTTCAGCGTTACCGACGTAAGTCGTGATTTTTAAACGTAATCTTAACTTTTAATGGAACATAAATCTTAAGTAATAGAGCTCTGTGAAAATATATAGCTGGATACTCGCAGTCACCTCAAAAAAAGTAAGTTTCATGTTCCGACAAAAGGATTATTTTGAAAGTGTTCGTTTTTTTTCGGTAAAGTCACGTAGGCAGAAAATAAAATAAAAGATAAAAAAATATATATTAAAAGATAATTGTTTTATTTATATTATCCATTAGTATTTCTACATCACGTAGGGAAAAATAAGAATAAAAAGAATAAAAACAATAGAAATAAAAGAAAATTTTATATCATTATTTTATTTTTTGTTTGTATTATTATTTATATAATTGTATTTACTTATTTTATACCTACGTGACTTTACCAGAAAACACCTAAGAGTATGAATCCTTGCAGTCACGAAAGCGTCAAATCTAGAATGGATTATTTTTAAATCTGTTCTCTTAGTGTACTAAGCAACCAAAACGATATCCTCAGGAACAGAGGATGAAGCTTTAGTCATGGAATGTCCCGTCGGGTCCTAAAGATTGTTGACCTGTGAGAACATCACGACGTCTTTTATCTTATAATCCTGTGGGAAGTCGACAACATGCACAACACAGCAACACTCACGACAAACATCGTTTAGTTCCTGTCGGCATTGGTCATGACGTATTTATATCGTGTACAAAGTCCTCTTCAAAGATCTCTGGCCAACGTGAAAGAGTCAAAATTACCCCTCCCCCCCCCCCGCCTCTCGTGGTGCCCCATCTGCCAGCGGTGGCACGAGCAGGAATTGCAGGGCTGTGCCATCTACCTTTGACACAATGTCTGCCAATAATGGGGGGATCAATAAAAACACGGTGAGTGTTGACTGAGATTACATTATTGATGTGAAACTATCTGCAATAAATGACGTGCTGCGTCCCTTAAAACATTTGTGCCTTTTTTCTCTCGCCGTGCTTAAAGAACAATTTTCCTGGAGGCTTGTTGCATTTGTTTAAATCCATGTTTTATATGACACCCGTAGTGAATCCAACTGAGTCGGAAGACGTCTTGGGAGCAACGCTATTTCACCAACACAACACGACACGAGCTACACTTGGGTGTCGAATGCCCATCTATCCCACGCTACGGCACAACTAGACACGGCTCGCTATCCCGGCCCGGACCGCGAGCTGCTGGGTCCTGGAGCGCGTGGCTAGAGGCTTCTTCTCCCCGACGTGAATCTTCTTCACCGGCCACACGAACCCACGACCGCCTCACGGAGCCCCCCCCCCCACCCCCGTTATATCGGCCTGGGCTGGGCTGACTCCGGCCCTCGCCCCGCCCACCTCTTTCCCGAAGGATCCCGAGGCTTCTCTATACCACGTGACCGCCCAGCGGCCCCCGTCCACCGGTGGCCCCCCTCCAATATCATCCGGTGACGTGTCGGCAGGTCAATCAGCGTATCATGCCCCAACGCAACCCTGGCTGGCTGACGCTCCCTCACCGGGAGCCCGCACCGCACACTGCACGCGGTGCCTCCGCACTGACCAGCGCTCACCGAAGCCCCGCTAGGGCTTGTACTACGCCCAGTGACTGCACGTAATGCCAACACATTATCCGCCGTAGCTTCTTAAGCCCGGCAGCACACGGTGACATTCACAGTCACTACATCACCCCCCTCTCTGTAGCCTCCAGCCGTCCCGGCTGCCAACTCCCCCGCAAGTAAGCAACCGACGTACAATTATACAGAACAACAAGCAGGTGCGCTCCAACAATAACAAGACAGCACGATAAATTACCCAAACCCAACTGTACAATATATACACCGAGAGAGAGAAAAAAAAACACAGCAGCGAGAGAAATGAACAACAACAATCGCGTCGTACAAGATCCCCACAATAAACATCTCCCACCCACAACGTGTAAACGACGCCCGTGAGCTCGATGGCGGAAAGGATCAGCCAAACGCTCGCCACGACTCACGAGCGCGCGACAAGCCACGGCGGTGTGGGAGCGTGCAACGCGCGGGGATCGTGAGAGTCGAGTCTTTGAGCGAGTCCGTGACGCCGGCCCTCCAGGCGGGTTGGGCTCATCTGCCCTGGAAGCAGAGGTCGTAACGGGTTTTGATTCCGTACCCGTACCCGGCCGGGTATGGGTTCCCGTACGCCACCCGTACCCTACCCGAAATGAGTGACAAACGGTGACTCACCGGTGACTCTCAGCCTACCCGTACCCGGCCGCACCAGGGTCGCAAACGGGTACCCGTACCCGGCTAGGTACGAGTAGCCGGGTATCGGGTAGGGGACGGGTATCGGGTACCCGGTTTGCGACCTCTGGGATGAAGCCATGTTGCAGGCGCGGGTGGGTTGATTCTAGGAACTTGAATTGTGAGAAGAGACAAGACGTTGGGAAATGAGTGACAAACGGTGACTCACCAGTGACTCACGGCCTACCCGTACTGGCCACACCAGGGTCGCAAACGGCTACCCGTACCCGGCTGGGTACGGGTAGCTGGGTATCGGGTAGGGTACGGGTATCGGGTACCCGGTTGCGACCTCTGCCTGGAAGCTGACTCCCCACGAAGAGCAGTCGACCGGGTCGTCGTGTCCTTCACGTGCAGAGCACACGAAGCCGACAGAGCGGACGCACGCCCCGGCTCGCCACGCACAGCCCACACTCGGCCCCTGCGATACGGAGATGAGACAAACTCACATGGCGGTGCTCACCAGCGCAGCCCAATGAGTGCTCACCAGCGCAGCCCAATCAGTGCTCACCACCGCAGCCCAATGAGTGCCCACCAGCGCAGCCCAATTAGTGACCATGGGCCGCATAGATGTCCTTGGTGGGCCGCATGTGGCCCGCGGGCCGTAGTTTGAGGACCCCCGGTCTAAAGGATCATTACGGCCCTTCACCAAGTCACCACTCGACGGAAGCCTCCCCACGCGCGCGGTGTTAGTCACGGGGGGTTGTTTGACCATACTTCACCACGTGGTTTGGTGTCTGTTGTAAGGAGAGGCTTGGGGCAGGACCATGTGGTTACCACTGACGAGCGATGAACAGCTGCTGCCTTAACGCCTTTGAAGGAGGACGGACGAGACATCCACTCTGCGTCTGAACAGACAATCGAGTGGATAGCAAATCTAAAGTTGCATCTTTCATCTCCTGTAATGGATCCATACGTTAGGAGGAAGGGATGAACCTAATTTCGTCAGGTTCATCACGTAGTGTGCTAACCACCGCGCCACCGCACCACCAAAATAACATAGGCTTATTGATTTGCAGAGTTACGTACTTTATTAATCTGTATATTTTTGGAAAAAAACGACATACATAGGCAAAGGTGCAGCCCTTCAATATCTAGCTCACGCCACGGCTGGCGAAAGGGCCTCCACTAAAGAGGGTGGTTTGGCCTCCTCTTCCATGCCGAATATAGATGTGCGTGCGTGTGTGTATATATACACGTTTTAAAACACATCAAGCGGGACGTTTATTTTAAAATGTGAGTCAACCGCTCTCTCAACAGTTGAGAGAGCGGCCTCTGTTACTGTACTTGGCATTACCAAAGGCAGGTACGGCCATCCTGTACTGAGACTTTGCATTCGGTGTGTGATCAGGGTACCCTCGGCATGTACCGGCTAATCACTTTATCTTCTTCTTCTGAACGCTTTGCTCGTTAGAGGTCACGTCGCAAACCGTCGCGCGCTGAGACACGGCGATGCTCGCAAGACGCTAACGGCCACGCGGTCACTTTGCCACGCGAAAACGCTTTTGCAGGGCCCGTGCAAAAGAAGGATGGAAGGCGTTATCAAGCTGTTTAAAGAAACGACTTTGCTTAACCCCAAAGGCATCTACATCCCGAACTGCGACCGCAAGGGCTTTTACAAAAGAAAGCAGGTAACTTGACGAGGACACCCCCCCTGGGAGCAGGAGGGCTCACGTGGTGTCTCTTGCGTTGAACTGTTGTTTAAAAGTCGACACCAAAGAAGGCCTCGCTGAGTTTTTGATGGAGGGTTGGTCCCGTGTTGAATGTTTAGATGGCAGCAGCAGAGCAGCATCGGCAGCAGCGGCATCATCACCTTCAGCAGCATCACCTTAGCCATTGACTTATCATCACCATCATCAGCATCGCCTTAATCATTGACTTATTATCAGAAGTAGTAGCTGCATGGCCATCTTTAGCAGCAGCAACATCATCAGCAGCAGGTTCAGCGACACAATTAGCATCATCACCAACCCTCAGCTACTCCCAGCTATGCACATATAAATAGAATTCTACATATCAATATATTTAGCCCATCGGCTTATTGGCTTTCCAAACCAATATTATCGAGCGGCATTTGTTTAAGCGCCTGGGTCTTATTTACACGTAAACACTGATTCATCGTGCACGTGTGTATGGAACGTCTGTCGCAACGTACGTAGCCAACTGAGCCAATCG